TTAAAGAATTGGTATTATTTTTAGTTCACGACTTTTTACTTGTTTTAATCGGACACGATTAAAGCATCGTATTTTCGATAAAATTATTTTTAAAAATTCTTTGAACGAATATTTGACTATTTTTTGTAGTCAAATTTTTATTTAAATACATTTTCGCATACAGAATATTATTATTATCCTTTGTTCATGTGTATATTTATTTGAGACACCCGGTATGCATCATTTCGATGTTTGAAGTCATATATTTGTGTGGAGACGCGCTTCAATTATAATAATTTTTATGGTTTGCATCTCTTAATTACTAGATGACGAGATGCCAGAGAGGGAGAGACAATTTTGAAGCAGACATCTCAGCGCATGAGGGATCAGACAAGCGTATAACGCGATTAGTCGTTAACGAGAAGCATGAAGAAATCTTTTAGTCATCGGTAATAGATAGACTGGACATAAATATTATATACTCGAAATACTATCGTGTGTAAAATTTTGAATATTTTTCGAATTTATTTTATTCCAAATGATCAAAGGATTTTTCTGGCAAAATCGAATTAATGAATAACGAATAATGAAAATATTTAAAAAATTTAAACATAAGAGAATAATCAAGCGTGAAATCTATCGAATTTTTTTAAGTATTTCAAGATTCTGATCCTAAACAATTTGATATGATTGTTTTACCTATTAAATCTTATCTTATTGTCAATTCTAATCAATTTTGATCACATTAACGAAAAAAATTTACTGTGACAAGATTTATTATATGAAAATATTGAAATCTTGTTACATTAGCTGTCACGAATACGATATACATATGAAATTTTTATGATTTCTTGAATAAAAGTTTATGATCTTTATCATACGTGTTTATTTAATTTATGAATTTCAAATGTAAATAAGTTTCTCGAATTATAAATTCGAGACGTTTGGAGAATGTTCGATATTTATATGCAATATTAATAATTTGAGATAACAGATGACCATCATATTTAATGTATCTATCTTTATAATTTTGGTAGTGAACTCAATTCTATGAATGTACAAATATTTGTATAAATATTTCTTTCTACATTTTTTTACATTTTTCACAATAATTAATTATAATAATTCATTCCATCAACTACTATATATAATTAATTATTAGAAAAAAAACAAAAATCTTTGGATTATCAAAGTCTACATCCATCATATTTCATATATATTAGATGATAGTATTAGAATACATTTTAATCTGTAAAGAAGAAATTATATTCTCAAAGTTTCATTCGTTTCATAATTCAAAACAATTCAATCTTCCCAAATTTTAAATTAAAAAACAAGAATTATATAAAATTACCTTGATCAAACAGATGCATTCAAAATTCCATTCATTCATAACATAAGAAAATCCAAAAAACATTCTTTCATTCTTCCATGCCTATATAATTATCCAATAACCAGAAGAATTACACAGAATGACAGAATTATGTCTCAAAGAGAAAATGAGCACGTATATATATTCCTACTTTCATAATCTACAAAAACATTCTCTCAGATTTCCATTCTCCAAAACATCAATCTTTCATTTCCAACTTTCTGCTCCATTCTCTACCCCAAATTTCCTATATACACACATACTTTATCAGTCTCACAGGACATCGATTTCTCATCGTTGAAACTTGTA